AGGAGCTAACATTTGACAGACTACTTTTATAATATAATGCAGTAAACTTATTTGAGGGGCTTACTAGGCAATCGACTTTTAAAACGTTTAGTTATATTAGAGCTTAACTTGTACTGCTCACAGTTAGTTACAATTTAATAGACTTCTTAGAGACCACATTTCTCAACAGGGGGCCAAACAATGTACTCGACTGTGGCGAGGTTCTTAAGGTAAAACCCATCAGCACTTTTGGTTGAATAGGTAAAACTAAGCTGACAAGTCTGTATTAGTAGCTAATCCTTTTTATTTAATTAGTAACTGACACAGTTACGACAGCAATCGTCTTAATGCGTCCATTAACCGACTTTGTGGGACGGATGAAGATATTACTACAGGTTGGTTCTACTATAAGGCTCCGTCAAGGTGGATGTCGACGCTAGGGTCGATTTTTCCTTAGCATTAATACTAGGAGAAGATAGAACACTCATTAACAACCTCTATGGTTGTAAGGATGGTAATTTAGCGTGACAGATCGTGTCCAAGTAAGAGGTAGCTCAACTTCATGATGTTCGGTGGAGCTAACTCGAACAGAACTGTTGAGGTTGACCATAGTGCCGATCTTTTTCGGTCACTTTATGAATAGTAGCCTAGGGTAAAGGCGCTTACTCTTGCCACACTCTACTAAAGAGTGTACAACACTGGACAAAAGCTCTGTTCTATAGCTAACAGTCAAAAGTCTTTAAAGTAGGTCTATAGAGCTTGTAAGGAGAATCACTACCCCTAAATTGTTTATTCATTTGACTTTAGTGAATAAAATACTCAAAAAGTACATCGAACGTTATTATGCCAGAAGGAATCGAACCCCTTCAACCTAGGGGAATTTCTTTACCAGCCTTGGCACGGTTGAAGGCCTTTATAATAAAGATAAATTTTTGTGGGGCATTTGGCCGGGATCGTGATCATGGTTTCCTTATTATTCATATCGGCATTGATATACTAGCTGTATTGCATACTGAACCGTTTCCTTCTTAGGCACGGAAATCTGCTTCCTTTAACTTATGCAATCGGACTTTTATAATTCGATGTTACTATATCTTACTTTCCAAATCGTTGAAAGTTAGCAGAGGTTTTTTTTATTTCCAAATTAAAAAAACCATGAAACTTCATAAAAGACTATCGGCTCATAAGTTTACTATCCTGCAATGGCAGAGTAGCGGAAGCTGTGATAGATACCCGCAGTATTAAAATATTTGCGAAAGAAAAGGACATCATTCCATCCATAGTCGCAATAAGTTTTTTATAGTAGTAGGAAGATGCGCACTGTTAGAGGTTAATTATAATTTAAAATGCGTACCCTTTCATTCTCTTATAAACATTTATATCTTTCTATGCATATAAATAAATCAATTAAGGATGTAAAATTGTTCTAATAATTCCCCACTGTTCGGTTTAGTTTGGTACATTCCGACATATATTTGGTAAATTCAGAAAAATGAACTTTATTAATCTTTTAATCATATGAGAAATGTAACCTAAATTTAATACAATATTTTACATAGAGTAAAGTAATATAACTTCAAATATATAGTTAAAACTGGAGCAGCGGAAATACTCATTGGAATAACGTTTAATTGTTAAAAGATATCATGAAGTGGATTAACAAAAGTATGTAACAGGAGATGGTTTGCTTTATAGTATATACAAAAGAAATTTTTGTCGTGAAGAGCCTTTTAAAAGTATTCTATAGAATCCCTTAATTTTTCTATTGTAATATCTAATTAAACTATAAGATGTTATCATGAAATTCTGTGCAGTTAAAGTCCAGCATAGATAATAATTTTTTTCAAATTGTCCTGTGAATCTGAATGCAAGCAGAAAACGACTTCAACGCGTAGAAATTTCGTATCGTAATGCTAGACAAGAATTAAAAAGGGACAAGTACAAAATTAATCGTATTCCCTCTCGCTCTAGAACACATTTTTACTCAAAACTTTTCAGACGAAAACACAAAAACCTATTAGAACAAGCAATCTATTAAGAAAAAAAATAATATAAAAAACATTAACACAAAAGACGAAAAGTATACATAGACTCAAAAACTTTATAGTTATAAGTGAAGTATTCCAATCTTTAAAATTCTAAATAATGAAAACAGGTCGTATGCCTATGATAAAAAAAAATTTCAAGATGAGCGAACAGTAATAATTAAAACTAGTTAAATAAGGTCTGCCTGCAAATGCTTTATATTACATTATATATTACATATTTATTATAAACGTCAAATCTTTTGCTAATACAATTTCGAATACCCTTCTTTTTTATACATAAAGTGTTAGGTAATAACTTTATCTGTCTAGGTAAAGGTGAATCTTATAACCTTAAAGAAAAATTAGTTAAACATTTCCAAAAAGCCTGTAGCCTCTTTGTAACGTCTTTTTATTTTACTAATATCTAAATGCTATTCTCATGCTTTAGCCAAAATAAGAAAATTTACTTTAAAACCTATAACAAGTTAATAACTGTTTTGTTAGAATTTAGTAAAAAAAACTGTTGTAAGGTCTTTCCAATATTCGGATTAAAACTGTACACAACAAAAAAGTTTGAGTATATTATTATTAACATAGTAATTTTAGCATATTTTCGGTTGTTTATGACTACAGTAAGTAATTTCCGACTGTTTTAGACAATTTTTTAATTTTACAAATCTTACTTATTTCATAGCCTCTTTAAAAAGTAGAAACCAGAACTTCATAAAAAGTAGTCAACCTCTTTACTAGACACATTAACATGGCTTACCATTAAGTTAGAAAGTGTCTACTAAACACGTACCTTCCAATTGCAAGATGGCGGACAAATTTACAAAACAACTCCCTATTAAATTTATAAATTTTCAATAATATTATTAAAATATAATTATTTGGGGTTGTAGAAGTTAAAAACAAAGTTGCTACTCAAAACCTCTTTTTTTTAAATTAAAAATAATCTCAAATGCGTTGACCCTTAAAAGTTGAATATAAAAAAATTATTAACATGAAACTTTTATTTATGTATTGTTAAAGACGCAGGCGCGCATGAGGAGTTTAGTGTCTCCTTAAAATTATAGCCAATAACGACTGTTTTAAAAACTAAATGATGCGTTTTAATGTTATTTCTGATTAGCGTAAAAATGCTTGTAAACCGCGTCTTCTATCTCACTTTTCTTTGGATGGCAGCATCAGGCGCATTTGTGCCTTGGATCGTTAATCATATTTTGAGACGTTCGTCAATTTGTGTAGATACTTTAACGAAATTTGATATTACTGTGCCGTTTTAAGTTGTGTTATCTTACAAGAGTCCGAAAAAGATCGGACCTATATATGCGCGGCTTCTGCGTCGGTTAGTTCGACGGCCTGCCGGTAGTTAGAAACAGCCAAGGTTGACTGACGGGTGCCATCCTCAAAAGGAGTAGTCTGTGGTACTACACTAAATATGATCTTGCGGTTGTTAGTAACCCTCTTTGATTGAATGCTTTCGCTGGCCCAGACGAAAACCACTTACACCGAAGCGATTAGCTGTGCGTTTAGCAATTTGTTCATTCGGTTTTCTAAATCTATTCAGTGAAAGGTCAAACGTTTGGTCATGAATATGGTTACCCTGCTCATGATAAATAAATGGAAGCTGCAGGCTACTGTGGAGACACATATCGAAAGATATACTCTTAAACTTGATAAAAATCCCGCAGCAGACAGGTTCATTTGGCAAGTGCTACATTCCCTGCATCAGGTAGATTGTTGCATTATCTCAAGCTTGAAGGAATCTTTGCTTAAATCAAGTACTGGTATGGAAACTAAGAGTTTTGCACAGCATACGAGCCTAGTGACCTGTTGGACGAAAGTAATTCACGTTCTGGAGCGGCGTATATTAGAGTCACCATTCGGAGTAATCCTCACTGAAAGCAAAAGGTGAGCTGTGTACGTTGCTTATAATGCTATATATGTTAACTGAAACAACTAAGTTGCATGAGTACTGCTCCCTTTAGCTACTAACTCCATGCGAAAGCGCTCGGTAGCATAGGCTTGTGCCATGACTGACTGCTTTGGTACTATCTAGTTTACTTTAGACGTTAGTCTAGTACAATAGCTTACTAGTAGTAGCGTGGTTCGAAAAAACTAGTAAGTGAGTATAGTGCATATACTGTATGCTATATTCGTAGTATACTTGCACTAGTTATATGCATATATGCATATATACTAATGCTTGTTACTATAGACTATAGTATACTATATGTAATATACACTCTACTAAGTATTACCATTACCTAGTATATATATATATATAAGCACGAGCTACAGGAGTGTAGCAATTCTATAAATCTATTTCCGCCTCTTTCCTGCTTCCATATCATTGACGTAGGCGCTATAGTTAATATATATTATAATACTCGTACTAAGAGCATGTATTGACAATTAAAAATTAAAATTCTGAGAATTTTAACCCAAAAAAGTTGAGGAAAAAAGTTAACCAAACCCTAGAAGATAAGTAAAGTCTTCATGACTTCTCTTCATTGCTTCTTCGTTCATTTTCTATTAAATTATGGGATTTATAAAAAAAGTCTATCAGATTATTCTGATCTAAATAAAGAAAATGCTTCATTTAATATAGTAAGACGTAAAGTAGGAGAAGAGAACCAAATCCAGTTTTAAAACTGAGTGAGGATGAGGGTAATTACTAATGAACGTTTTGCCCTAACTAAAAAATTGTTGCTTTCTCAAATTTAAAGACATGCCCTTTAGTAAAAGAACATAGGTTTGGAGTCCGCCAATCACCTTATAAACGCACCACATGGACACAGTTACTTGCTCACGGAAACTATTTGGTAACATGTCCGAAAAATTAATGGTATAATATAAGATTGATGAGGGAGTTTGCTACCACAGTTTCTTTAAAAACTATATATTTTTGCACCCGACTGCACTATTCTTATTTAAATAATTTCGATGAGCATATTACAACGTTAAAAATTAAAAAATTTTTGAACGGTATCACCGCAATAACGAATTCTGGCTTATTTTGTGTTAGCATAAGATGTTTGTCGGTTATTGTGATATGTTTACCTCTAATTAAAATTTTTTCTTAGGTTGACGTTTCCAAAGGCTATGATTTATATCGTTGTGTAGAAAGTTGCCTAAATGACTATAAAATAGAAAATCCAGCGATAGATATAAATATTTTACAAGTAATTTCACTCTTGTATAAAAGTTGGGAAAACTTTAGTATAGCGGTCTTACAAGTCTATCTTTTAAAGTTAGATTTGTAAAGAATTTATGTTATTCTTTTTATCCAGCTTCATTTTTGGGGAAATTTCATTACCCCATTGAACATAAGCGTAAACTATGCTCAAACTCGTAAAGTTGATTACTTGCTCTTTTGTTCTTTAGAAGTAAATCTCTAATAAATAGTTTTACTTTATTTTACTTCTTCTGTGTTAGGTTTTTGTTCCATTCCGTTCTTTTTTAAAAGTCTTAGGGCACATGACTAAGGACTCCTTCGTCGTAGGAGTTGCTTTATCTGGGCACAAGTTTTGTGCTGGGGAAACTGTCCTCACCGGACTTACTTCTCCTTGGAGTAATAGTCTACTTAAGTTTAATTTTATATAAATAAATTTTTTTTTAGATACATTTGCTTTGTGGAGGTTATCCACACTTGCTATTGTGGGTTTTCTCAATGTTAGTGAAGGAAACGTACTGGTGGACGGGGGCGTAGAAGTTAATATTTTAATTTTTTAAATACATATTAGTAAATTTAAATTGTATTAAGGAAGTTCCCACTATATCAATGTTGCAAAGTATTTATCCTGAAACTACAAAAGCGAAACTTATTAAACTTTCCGACGTAGTTTGGAATACAAACTGGTTTCTTAGTTTTTTAAATTTACTTAAAGATATAGTTCTAATTGCTACATGTATTATTAGGGAAGATGAATCTCGCTCTAGTTGGCATATAAAAAAACTTACTTCTAAAATTTCGCGTTCCTCAGCGCAATTGAAGTTATTAAAACTCAAAAATGGCAAAGTGGAACATATTGACTTAAGTTGTTAAGTTGCGTAGATTTATTGGTTACTGAATGAAAGTTTGGTTTTCATTTAAAAATTAAGTTAACATAAATTTAATTTTTATTGATTCGAAATAAGTTAAACATTAAATATTACTTACTTGTTGATACTGTTTTGGCTCAATAACTTGAAGGAGCTCACTTTTTTCGGTACTGTTAGCCACGTGTGTCCTTTAATTAGCTTGCTCATGGTTATTAAACGTAGGAGGGGATAATTTTTCTGCTCTTTGCTTCCCGCGTGGAGCGTGCATATTTTGGTAGAGCGGGTCAGCTAAATTAATATTATATATAATTTGTCTAATAAATATATTTATGCATTTATTCTACCTTGGGTGTATATATATCTACGCTTTATTCCCACTACCAGTGATAATGCCATTTTAAGCATGACAGTTTTATTAACTAGCTTATAATTGTTTATTGAAGCCTTTTATAATACTTGAATTTTTTTTTTTAGTGCAAGGACAATAGTTTTCATTATGCTAGAACAGTTTTTGTCATCAATATTTAGAATATAATTTTATTAAGCCTAAAGCTTGGGATATTTATTTAACTGTTTTTGGTCTATTGTTTACTGCTATAATTTTTATTTATGGTAACGGTTAACTAGCCTTAGTATACTCTATAACAAGACGAAAAACAAAGTTAAGCAAAATGGTTTTAAGGCATTGTATTTATTTAGGCTTTCATTTACAATGCTTAAGAGTCTCTGATTTAAACGTATATATTATGGCTACTCTAAGGAGATTTAGATAAATTAAATTTTTGCGCTTAGTTGTCTTGCATTTTATTTAGACTAAATTACTCACAGTATACTTTATTTTTTAAATTAGTAATTTTAAAAACGCTTAATATTTATTGCGCTTTATTAAGAGGCGATTTGGACTTTATAATTTTTGTTAAAAAAGGTGGTATTGTATTTCAACTACCTTCACTTTTGTTGAGGGTTGACTATTTTCTTCTAAAATAAGAAGTCGTTCTGGTTGTGGAATCATTAACAAATTTCAGAACCTCAGCAGGGACGATAACGGGGTTTTTTTTCAGGTCTCCCTAGGGTAGGGTGGGTTATTGTAGGAATTTTGAGGGTTTAAAAGTTTACCAAAAATATCATCGTGAAAACCTCCCTCCCCATGGCTTTTTAGCCAACCTCTGCGGATAAAGTTGATGACAGGTCTCATTATCAAAAAAATATTTTTATAGGTAGCGAAACTTTAAATCTATTTATATAATATTAGATTTTAAACTATTTTTACAATTCTCTTTTGAAAGTAATAAAAACATCATTTTTACCCAATAAAGCTAATATTAAAAATTATAAAGCTGAGCTTCTTTAAGGTATCCTTAATTATATACAAAAATTAAAGTTTTTTATATCCCTTTTTTAATTTTTTAATAGTGTAAGTTAGAATTAGGTAAATTATTTAATCTTGGTTATAGGTTTACAAAGATCTGGTTACAATAACCTGAGTGAATTATTCTTTGAGGTTTGGAAGGAACTCTAGTTTCTTAGTCCTTTAGGTGTACTACACTTTAAGGAAACAATTGTATATTGTAAGCTACACTAACACCTATATTTTCACTTGAATTCTCGAAGTTTTAGCTTAAGTCTTTATTTATTTAACATAATGTTTTGTATACTAAGTAATTTGAACTTAATATTAGATGTTATAAAAAACATAATTTTTTTTGGGGTTAGAAATATGCAAACAATACTTAATTTTAACAATTATATATAAATTTGAAAGGTAACGTCAGTTATTTTTTTGCTTTTATTACACATGCAAAATATAGAATTTGTACGACAAACTATTTAGGTACAAGTGCTCCAATAAAACAGATAAATATAAGAGCCTCGACGGAAGTATAATAAAGTTAAAGGGTAAAGAGTACTAAATAGCAAGGACCCTTGAAGTGCTAAGAAAAAAAGTAATTCAAAGAAAATGTAATGTAGTCAATAAGTAAAATATTTGTGCTACTACTTATAGATATACCAACAAAAGTATGTAAAACGGTTCACTTGGTCGCAAAAGCTAGCTTACAAGATTTTATAGTGTGAAGTATATATAAAATATATATCTGATAACGTAGATTGTAAAATGAATAAAAGGTAGAGATAACATCTATTTTAAGTAAAAAAGATGTACTAATGAGCCCTAAAGCTAAGGCATTCAAAATTCCGATTTACTATCACAGTTTAACTTTAACCCAGACCAAAAATAAACAAAGTCCATTAACCATTAGAAAAAAAATTTTAGTAAAAAAATTGACTCTCCCACCAAAAAATATTTTTTAATTTTATAAACAACATTCTTAAAAGGCCAACATCTAAAAATTTCTCTATAAATCTACAGGTGACCTGCGACAGGCATCAAACAATGTATTAAAAGATTTTCCTAAAGTAAGAGAGGTAGAAATTTTGTATCTCTCTATTTACGTAGTCTAACTAGATTGCCAATGGGACCCTATCTGGAGTTAATTTCAAAAACTTACAATAATCCACTTTATATGTCCCCACAACCTCGTGTGCCGTGTTTAAACGTTTCATTTTGTTTATCCACGGCAATGTTATCAATCCTTTCTATTGAAATATCAACAAAATTCTAAGGGGGTTGCCTAATTCCTGCAAGACGGGACACTGGTATATGCGGGATATCTAAAGCGTCAAATATTGAACTTTTTCAATATAAATAAGTTTGTCAGCACACTAATAATCCCCAAAAATGTCCAAGGGTTCCTTATCTGACGCAGTCTTGGATACCTTTGGTATTGATCCAGTCGCGCCACACGTGGCATAGGGTTACTGCAAACCGGTAGCGCGTTTCCTCAAGGCATCACCGGGTGAATACATCCTTTCCAAGCAACTGCTAGATTGAGGTAATTCACTACGAATATTTGTTTCAGAAAAGTGAAGTGTTCGGCAAACTCTTGTTCCTTACCTCTGCTTTAGAAAGCCTGCATCCATTGCTGTGGATCTGTAAATTAATCTACCAAGCCCAAAATATGCGTGAGTGGTATGGTGAGATCTAATACTTTAGATTTTAGACAACTAGTAGCTTCTATCCTCCTGCTAGCATCTTTTAAATTAACATTGGATAAGCAAATAAAGAAGTTGTAGCTAAGTCATTGGCAACTGCTTTAAATATACTATATTTTTCATTATGCTTAAGAAGAATGTACAACAAACCCAGCATTTCTTCAAAATCCCATTTAACAGCCCTTTTAGACCTCGCCTCAAGCATCTTGACTACTTTATGCAATTTTTTCTTTCTTCATATATAGTAGCTCCTTTTAGGTATGCAACTGAGATAAACTTAACACCTTTAAAATTTTTATTTTCAGGAGCTGTTTTAAAGAGTGCGGTATATGATCTCTTCTTAAGAAATGTTCTTAAAACCTTCTAAAAATTTTTCATCAGGAAATTTAAATAGTCTACCAATTTTCAGTCATACATCTAAGAGGAACTTTAATTATATCCCGAGGAAGTATCGGAAATTCAAACTCTCTTCGAATTCAAAACAGCACACTTCGAATCTGACGAGAGAGGAAATGGACATTACTACCCCCTTTTAAAAGAAATTCTTTCAGTACTATCTCAAAAAACAACCGTATAAAACAAAAAATTACCATCAGAAGAGAAAAACTATTAGAGACATTTAGAGCATTCGATACAACCTTTTCGAGAAGAACTGACGTTTCACAACAGGAAAAGCCAGCCTTCTCAACATTCATCTCGAAATGCTCCATACAATCATTAACGTGCCAAGAGGCTAAGTTAAACTCTACACGTAACCGTTTAAGGAATACATAGATGCCAGCCCCTTAAGAACACTTAGAATTTTTGTTTTTTATTTCATTTTTTTGATATTTTTTTATTAATATAAAATTATTATATTTTAATTATAAAGAGCGTAAAAATATTATAACAAAGTACTTTTTGCTTTGCATTATATTTATATATTTTTCTCTGTCCTGTTGTAGTTCTTTATAAAGAAAGCAGTTGCTTTTGTAAGTGAATAACAATGTTAATATAAAAAGCATTGAAATATGCTTTTTTTAAATAAAAAATTTTTAATACAAATTATGACTTACGAACGTTTTAAAATCTTCTATCAAGTAATTAACATTTAGAAGTTGGAAACAAACTTTTACAAGTAAATTTTTTGTAGAACGTTAATAACAGTTATAACCCAAAAGTTAGAAATAAATTTTTAATAAAATTTTAATAACAAGAAAAATAAAAACCTTTTTAAACATCCAAGTAAAATTTATGTACATCAATAGGAATAAATAGAAAATCATTAAAATTTATTTTATATTCGCAATAGAAAATCATTAAAATTTATTTTATATTCGCTCTAGTTAATCTGTCCGGGACAACTTTTTGGTGAAGCGGGCTGCATGGCTCGAGCATGCTAACTTTGAAGTTTTTTCTCAGCATATTTTCTGGGTTATTCTCTTCTTTTCTTCCATTTTGTATAATATTTGTAGGGCTTGAAAGATTGGCGTTAAAAACAGGCGGTGAGATTTGCTCGACTTTGATTCGTCCTGAATCTTATTATCTTTAATAATAATAATAATAATAATAATAATACTGATAATAATAATAATAATAATAAAATTAATAATAATTACTATTTAAGTAACACTCAAACTGGTCACATACGTCCCCATTGAAGAAATTATGATTGGCGAAGATAGTTTTAACCATTTTTTCCTCGTCCAATTGGGAGCTACCTGTACCATTGTCATTCGTGGAACCACCAAACAAATGTTAGATGAGCCTGAACGTTCCCTTCGTTACGCTCTCTGTGGTTCTTTCAGAAGTCATTATCGTCATTATTATTATCATTATTACTTTTAAGCATACCCAAGTATATTTTTAGCTTTTTTAAATTACTATAACTATTTTTTGTACTATTTTGTTTGTTTAGTGTCAGTAAGTACACTTACTAGTGCGGATCCACGTGTTGTCCACTGGGGGACCATAGTGAGATGGTTATGAGCACGGTGATCGACCGGCTGGCGGTGGCTTCCAGCGGAAAGGAGTTTTTTACTATCAAAGCGTTTGCTCGAGCACTGCGGCAGGTTTTCCCACTTTAATATTTTTTATGATTACAGTTTCAGATTAATTTTTTTAGCGGTTGAATATTACATGTATATATAAACTCCCCAACCATCAAGCTATGCAATTAATGATGATAACCGGCGGCTACGATGGTACCGAGTTAATCTCCCAACTTCGCTCTGATCATGTGCAGGGAAACAAGACTTTGGGGCTCAGTAATCTTAAAAAAAAAAATTTGTGTTCATTTTTTTAATTTTTAATTTTTTTTAGCGGGAAGATATGATGAACGGTTCAGTGTGCGATATGCAAAATTTTGGTGTTTTAGAATCGTATAAATCCAAATTGTACGTATTACTCTCTGCCTGCCCTTTGTCTTACTATGTTTCTCCTTTCTTTTCGTTGATTAAGTTTTAGCTTGTGGGCTGTCTGGCCTGTTCAGGAGCACTCTAGAATAACATTGTTTAGATGTTGTGAGCACGACTGATGGCCAAAGTTATAGTATTGTCTGTTGGTTGTATGATGCCCGTTAATTCCGTCATATTTTTTTTCCCTTTTAATGAATGGGTGTATTCCAGGCAAACTATCACTCTTGATTTGATAATTCTACAAGTGTGCTATGATTTAATATAATATATCCGTCTACTGCGCAGTTGGGCGGCATTGAAAGCATTACCTCCTTCTATGGTGCGGTGTATGAGGGCCTCAAATTCGAGTAATTTCTACTGCTTAATGTCTCATACTCTTTTATCCCGAAGATTTCACAAGGAGTTAGGCGCTCATTGATGTGAGGGAACTATTCGTGAGAAAAACTGCGCTGTCATTGCTTCGTCCCAGTATTCGAGCATATTTTTGAATGCTTGAGCAGTGTTCTTGTCATGTTGCACAAGGTCTGGATTTCTCTCACTCATCATGATTGATGATAGTCTTTCGGTGTGGTGGATGTTTACTCCAATTTTACTTGTTAGTTGGTACAATGAATTCTGTACTGTGATCCAATCGTATTTATTCCGTAACTGAAGGTAAAGTCTTTTTGTTAAGCCCCCTGTTCATGATGAGGCGGTTGTGTGGGCTGAACCATTCATAGAGCTGGTTTTTTACTTGGTCTTTATGTATGATGAACTTTGTGAAGATTTTCTTTGATCTTGCCGCGATTGTAATGGTTGCATAGTTGTGTCCTAATTGAGATCTTTCATCTACATGTAATTTCTCGGTTATTCTCATTTTGTGGATTTCTTTTGTGTTCATTGACCTCTTTTTTTCGGGGGAGATGCACACTTCGCATTCTTGGTTTTTAAAGGGCTGAATTCCAGGCATTTTGTGCTTTAGCTGTTTGTAATTAGGATGTCCGTATTTACAATGCTTAAGAGGCTGAATTTCGTGCTTTCCAAGCCTGCCGGTTTTCTTTTGGTCATTAGTTAGTGGTTGATTACATACGCTGACGGAATGTTTGTATTGAGGTCGGTTCTCATCGCCTTTTTCGCTTTGGTGTCTCCAGTTCTAAGCTTGATTTTGACTGTTTGGTGCCTGAAGGTAGTTGTGAAGCCGCCTTCGTTAAATTTGCCACTGGCAAGAGGTTTTGCTTGAAGTTTATATCATATATAGCTTTACCTTGGTCCAATGCTGCTAAACTCCAGTCCTTTTCGTGTAAGTCTTTCCCTGTAATAGTATTGATTGTACTATTTTCGTTATCTATCTCATATATTAGCGCTTAATTTTGGATTATGTACGGGTAGGCGGATTTATCTAAAATCATAATGAGAAGATAGCTAGCCTTACATCAGTTTGAAGAAGTGCTGTGGTTTCTTTGGGCTCTAGCTTGAATTTTGCAAGCCACTTCCTTGTTCCCGATTTCATGACAATAGGTGCATTGCGAATTCTTATTTTCGCAATATTGCTGATATTGTATGTTGTTACATCTTTAACACATGCATGCCTTTTCTATGGGCCTATTATTTTGTGACAGATAACGCACTGTATTGTTTTATAACCGCAATTGCTGTGCATCGTGGTAACCACTGCATTTTATAGCATGCAGTGAGGGCCCTTGGGCGCCTTGTTTAGTAGTATTGATGTCAGTGCATTCCAGTTGTGTTTGTGCCACATTTTTCTGAGAGTAGTGTACCCAACTGTTTAAGCTGTGCCTGCTTTCAGCGTGTAGCAAGGGGTTTAGTGCATAGTCATAATCTATTATTTCCTGTTGTTACTGTAGTGTTGCTCTAAGGATATTATGTTATATTTGTACCTATTCCCGCTCCAGTAGATTAATGCTATCTTTAAAAGGTCCTTAAATTTTGGCAGGTTAGGGGGCTATTTCCAGTATTGTACATTGTTCGTGCACCATTGCTGCAAGGTAGTCTAGCCCGTTTCTATATTGTAGTATATATGTATTTTTAATTTTGTGATGTTGCACAGTTCTTTAAGCTTAGCCATGAGCGTTAGAGACGATCTTTTGCCAAATATATTTTTTACTGTTTGAACTGCTAGCTCAGTTTTTGTAGTTTCCAGTTCTCTCACCCTTGTTTAAAACTAACATGTTTTTATAAAAATACTATAAATCTAGATTCTTTGCGACAAAAAAGGAAATAAGATAGTATTTTTTAGTATTTTTTTATTAAAAAAAAATACACAAATCGACACTAAACCATAATGTCAGGCATACGGGTAAAAAAGTTTACTTTCATTTTCACGGTAAAGCTCAACTCCGGGTTAGAAATTAATAAAGCCTTTAACCTTTAAGAAATGTAAAAAGTAAAAATGGTTTCTAACTTTCTTACAAAATGTACTTTTTATTTATATCAACATCCACCTTTTAAAGTTCATATTTACCAAAAAGTCAAAATTTTTCGTAAGTATCTCCAGGTGTATTACAGCGGACATCTAACAAATATATTTTTTTAAGATTTTTCTAAAGTAAAAAGGTCAAGAGTTCTATATTTCTTCTTCTCTATTCTCTTGTGCAGTCTGACTAGGCTACTGGTAAGCCCATTTAGGGAGTTTTTTCTAATAACTTGGAATAATCAACTTTATAACTTAACTATTATAATTCTGTGTGCAGATCCCTGACGTCTCATCTTCTCAGGTCATATTATTAATTTTTTATTTTCCGACATCTTCAAAATATAAAGGTCTCCACTTCCTATAAAAGGCTCAAACATTCTTATATCCTGAGTCGGGCATTCAACGCTAATAATCTAAACATAGGATTTTGTAAATGCGGTAACGATCATCGAGAAAAATATCTAAAAATGCTAACAATGTCTGTATCTGATTAAAAACACAAAACGCAAAGTTAGCTCTGTTATACATGGCACTCAAGTATTTGTTAGACCATTGTTGTGATATAACAAGTTACCCATATTTGGCATGTATTATCCGGTATATAGCATACAGAAGGCAGCCTGTTTGCATATACCAGAAATGGAGCCAGAAGAAATGCTGCACTATTGATGCAACTTCCAAAGGACACACTTGAAACAGCTCTACATGAAACGCCTTACTTAGATATAGAATTGCTAAAGACATTGACTCTACTAGCACCATTTATAAAAATTGACACTACTAGTATTACTAGAATAGTTAATATGGCATTCAGTAATAAATCTGTATTCTAATTAATAGCCATTTCTTCAGAACTATGGAAGAAATTGTCCTTTCTAAGTTAGAAATTAATAGAGCGCTAAGGATTACAATATTTGCGACTTATTATTTGGATTTCAAACATAAATTAGTAACAGTGTACAAGGAAAGTGTTGCCACAATACGGATGACATTAAAAAAAAAATCAGGATCCCTTCTAGGAGCATATATGAGGAGGCAATACAACGTTGGATAATTGAAGGAAGGAATAACGAAGGCAAACAGCGTGGCTACTTTTTAAAGTGTAAATAAATGATGATTGCATACAAGGTTAGCAAAGGGAACTTTTGACAAGATAACGGGATATCTTTCCACACGTAAGTATAATTACAATCCTTGTGATATATACGGTGTGTATTCTAAATATTTTACGGACCATGAGCACGATCAACGGATGAGCAACTGAAATACCAGGATCTGATACGAGCGAGTGGCTCTATAAAAATAAAAAATATGGGGTATATTAACTCCGTATATGAGGACCATATGGCTCAATAACGCAACAATCTGAAAAAGATATAAAAGTTTATGACTAACAACCGTGAGGAAGACGATTGTATAATTCTTTTTGACTAACCATTTTTTATATATTAATTACACAGAGAAAATAGGGAATTAATTGATATACTTGATGCTATTACAGCAAAAGTGATATATTCACTGATTGTAATAAATATTGTGTTCATTGGACTATACCGACTTGTAGAAAACAATATATGAATTTTATATGAAAGTTTAAAGAACTGCTGGTTTGTACATTACATGGGAATGTAAAAGGCTGAGTGTTAGAAATCCAACGTTACATAAGGCAATATTTTCTGTAACCAAAATTTTCAGAAGCATTTTATTTAAGATTCAAACATAAAGTTAACTGAAATCATAAATCACGGCATTAAAGGTTGAATGAGCCATGCATACAGAACCATAAACTAAACAACTTGTCGGTTGGGATAAAATATGCAATTTTCAGCACTTGAGCGTATGTGAACAAATTTATAAATCACGTTGACTGGGCAGAGGATATTAAAATATCGACTACTAAGCAATATATTTCTTAACAGCATACCAATCATGTGGTGGAAATAAAATTTTCAACATCAGGGCATGAGTGAAACAGGTTATACACGAATTTAAAAAAAAACAACGGCTGATCCAGACCTGTCCATGCATGTAAAAAAAAAATTTGAAAATTTTAAAGTTTGTAGCGTGCCTATATTGGATACTACTGCCACTGGGAACTTCAGGTAATGCATATATGAGCGCCGAGTTCTATCACCAACCATTATCGTTAATTATAAGGATAAAGTAAATTAAATGGTATGTTGGTGCATTTCACACTCTAAGCGAAGGATTTATGAAAGATATGACAGATAAAAGATGTGAGGTTATGATTTCCTACAAAGAAGAATTAAGCAAAAATTCGTAGAGAATTTTTTAATAAGCTAGCTATAGATTTAGTATTAATTTGGCAACCATTAATATCTGATAATTTTATTTCTGAGTTTACCGAAATGTGTGGTACTTGTATTGACTGAAGCGAATTCTGTACCCTTAGACTTAATATAGATTTAGTAAAAGAGATAAAAACAAGGGAGATGGGGATGTATTAAGTGATAAAAAATTACAGACTGTGTTTACACTAGAAAATTTAAAGAGAACATAGATTGAAGCCTGGTTAGATATAAACGAGGATGTATCTCATTTAATAATACAAAGGATAGTAGCGATGGTTCTAGCGGTTGTGGAAGTAGTATACCCCGCTTATGGTTCTAGATAGTGGGGAGTTTTATTATATGTTAGAATATATAACACTCACATCATGACTGGCTTGTAGTGGACACAACTATCATGATGCCTTCAAACGAACTTATAATTCTTATTACATCATAAAATTTTTGGGTAGCCATGCAGAATGTGGTAACTGACTAATCACATGTGTATGCTTTTCCTGTGTAGCTTTAAAACTGGTTTCAAGAAAGGCTACAAAAAAAAATTTTTCAAGTTTTTCTGAAGCGCCGTCCTGCAGACCAACGTGCCTGTTAACAATTTTAAAATAAAATATTGTATACTAGTTACTTGGAAACACTTATAAGGTTATTCAGAACGGGAAATTATGTCATGTCATAACTATGTAAGCAATTTACTTGATAAGCTACCACTGCAAGTAGATGCCATTAATACTTGTGCTGAATGCGATAATAAAGTTGATATAAAGTTACCATATCTTCGACCAACTTGTCATAGCCATACAGTTGCAGATTATACTTTGCCGTTTAATGGTTCAGATGAAAAAATCACTGAAGTAGTATTTAAAAAGAAAACACCAATTGCAGAAAAAGATAAATTTGTCGAAGGACTTAGACTTATTGCACTTACAGAAAATGGCGCAAAAACCTATTCGACATCGGAAAACCCATGTTTGGATTTTCTTTTTCAAATTGTTGAAAGTACTGATCGTGGCAAAGTAGAATCCCTTTTAACACAATCTTGGGAGTATGACCCTTTAACAACACTAAAACTTATCGCAAATTTAGGAGATGTACGACATGGCAAATCCATAAAGACTGCATATCTATACTCTCTATATTGGTTGTACGATAATATGTTTAGTACACTAAGTGCTAATTTGAAAAAGTTTGTTAATATTGGCTGCTGGAAAGATTTACTGCATTTGCTGATGATGACCGCATTCAATGGACATTTACCAGCTCACTTGGTATATGAAGAGAATCTTAGTTTGTGTAGAGCTCGACTTAGGGAATATAAACCTAAAAATAATAATAGGGGCAAGTGTTATTATCCCTTTAACCGGTACTATAAAGAGAAACGAGAATATGACTACTTACTGAAGCAGCATTATGGCTTGAAGCATAAGGATATAGTAAATAAGTATGTTATGCGCGAACATCGGATAGCATACGCCAAGTTCGTATATCTGACTAATATCAAATACCGTATGCTTCATAATGCAATAGCAAAATTACTTGCTGTTGATTTATATGAAGAATCTCTCAATACGGAAAGAAATTCTCCTATCGGGCTTGCTTGCAAGTGGAGGCCATCTCTACAGAAACATCACGACAAGTATACACTAATATGTACGACCATTGCAAACAATTTAGCAGACCTTAACAACATTGTGCACCCTGACGGAAAATGCCTGATAACACAAACGCATCTAAATAGGCGGCAATATTTTGAAACAATCAAAAAAATGTGTAAGTACAATCATATAGTAGAAAGTGTGATCCCGCTCTGGTCGGAAGTACGCTATGAACATGTACCATCTAAGAGTATGTCGCTGCATAAAAGTTCATTTTTAAAACACGACACAGAACGATTCACAGGTTTTGTGAATAGCAAGGAAACAAAAGCCCATGGATCAGTAATTAAACCATATGAATTTGTGTCAAGTTTGAAATATTCTACAGATGATACGCTTGTGAAGCTAATAGAAAAGCAGTGGGAGAATCTAGTCTCCGATTTCAAAAATGCAAATTTTAACCAGGCTATAGCAGTTTGTGATGTCTCGGGTTCTATGAGTGGGGCCCCTATAAATGCTGCCATTGGGCTTACTCTTCTAACAATGGAACTTATCAATCCTCCATGGTCTTATTGCTGTATAACATTCGATACAGTACCGCAAATTTTCAAGGTGAATCCCGAGTGGTCATTATCTCAACGAATTCAAGAGTTGCAACAAATGCCTTGGGGTTATAGCACAAATATTGATGCTGTCTTTACCTTGATACTTGATATTTGTGTCGCCCAAAATTTAACTCAAGAACAGATTCCAAAAACACTCTTCATCTTTACAGATATGGAATTTGATGTAGCGTCAGAACCAGAACATACCAACATTGAAGTGGCAAAAATGAAGTTTGCAGAACATGGGTATATCTTACCTCGGATTGTATTTTGGAATTTGCGTGATAGTTCATCAATCCCAATAACTGCTACAGAAAAAGGTGTTATGGTGTCTGGGTTCTCTGGAAATCTGCTTAAGCTAATAAGTGGATGCGATCTAGATAATATAACTCCAGAATTGTTTTTGAATATTATTTTAGAAACCTACAGCCAATTTACACTGTAACATATGTGAAAACAATTATTTAAGTAAAAATAGTTAAGTATATATTTTAACAAATTGAAAAAAAGTTAAAAAAAATTAATAAAGCATGTCAATAAATAATATTGTTTAGGTTGCTCCGCTCCGTTACAGCAGTAACGGGGCACGGATATACTCTGTACCCACCGTCACGAACATTTTGTTGTAATACTAAAAATAATATTTACTTCCTTAGGGTGGTTCGAATATAGCATTGCGACTAGCAAGCCAGCTTATCAAGCAGCAGTAAGAGCAGTTGAATCTAGAGTAGCGGCTGACATGTTTGTAAATAATATTGAGTACTCTGAAAAAAATAATTTGGCTAATGGACTATGAGAATTTTTGGAGAACAAAAAAAAACTGCAATTCCAAATAAGGTATGTTCATTCAGTATAAATGAGACAAAAAATTACACAGGTGTTAGTCTGCCTGCAAAGTGGGCACAACCAAATAGCCTATCAACAACTAAACAGGATTGCTAACATTGCCAATAGACAACTCACGTTCCTAGCTTTTTTAGATTCCTCTTAATTCAAGATTATGTTGCATTTTCAAAAAATTTTGAATCGGGTAGACTGGAGCTTACAAAAACCACTATCCAGCTGACTTATACGATAAATCAACTGTTCATAATGAACTTGGCGTATTCCACCTGCAATGTTTCAAAGGTCTGTTAGATAAAGGTATGAAACTATAACACTACTATAGATGCCGAGCTGTTAATCTGTTCAGGTTGCAAATTATAGACCCACGAAAATGATAACTGAAAAAAAACAATCCCAACTAGCTCTGGTTCTACTGTAAAGGTGTGTGTCACAAATAACTCAGAGTTACCTATATGTGAAGGCCAGGTAACCGCCCATATCTATGTACAACCAAATAACAAGGATAGCCATATTTAGCCAGAAAATGGAGAACATGGTAATCCACTGGCTTGTAGAGGATCCTACACTAGACATGAATGCTTTAGATAAAAATTAAGACGGGTTGTGTGCATTGCTCACGTATTTCAGACGTACTGAAGTTGATGACGTAGCTATTTCTGTGGATGGCCCTGCCTCTAAGCTAATTGTAGAACACAGAAAAACCGAATATAAATGTTGTCATAAAAAACCATCTATAAAGATGCGTAGCTACGTTTTACATTTGTAGTTACAAATAATAATAAAATATTTTTTAACGTAAGCAGTATGTATTAATATAACAATATTCAATTTCCAAGCAGGAAATATTAATGTATGCTTTAACTGGTTATGAGTATGGAAATACTTTGCGTGGTACTCCTAATTTGCATCTAACAAAGGTGTATGATTGCAAGTCATATTATGTATTTTATACTGTATCTTAGTTCATACATATGAGTAAGGGCTATTCCTCTAGTAATACAGTATTCAGTCAGATACACGAGATAATGTGTCACTGACACTATTTAGTTTAACGCATTTTGAAAACGGCACAGCACGAATACTTAACTTTGAGGATCCTTGTTACACGGCAGGTGAAACGGTTGATAACCGATATCTGTGGCTATTTTTTGCAGTTCAGATTTGTAAGGAGTTAAGCTTGGAAGTTCATAGGGTAGGGGAGGGATTGTGATATCTATTAAGCTTTGTAAATTCCATCAAGTCACTAGTTTTTAAAATAGTGTGACTTTCTAAGAGAAGTTTTTTTGGGAAATGAGAAAAGTTTTATTGATTTACTTCTATTCTCTGTTAGCGTAGACGTTAAGTTTATCTACCAAGGTGAGTTAACTTATTTAAATATTTAATTATTCAAAGTGAAAGTATAGCCGTTACTTTCATCTCTAAACGCGCTTTGAAGTTAAGAACAGCTCAACCAAACCAAAATTTTGTTAGTTATAAAACTTTTTAAGATACTTGAACGTGTTTGTGTTAGTTTTTATTGTCCTACAAACCCTTTTAATAAACGTGTTTAAGGAAAGTCTATGAAGAAGAAGAGCCAGGGAGAGTTACGTTAAACAAAGAATATTATAACTTTATATACATCTACATAATATATATTGATGCCCTTATTGAAGTATAATTTTGAAGAGTTGGTTGTAGTACTCTTCGATATGACTTTGTATATTTTGAAAAAGAGCACCAGAAACTGCACCGAAATTGTGTAAATAGATAATAAATTCATCAAAAGATTAGAAAGATGGCCTCTTGTTTGGTGGCAACAACTTTTACAGGGTTGCTTAATAATATTTCATGTAAGCAAAAAAAAGGGTCCCTTCCTTGATAGTGAATTTGAAGATATTCCATCTTTTTGCTAAATTTAAAAAAAACTGAGGCTGAAGTGAACAGATCTTTTCGAGCAGCTGAAAGCACGGTTATTGATGTAAGACAACAAAGATTTAAGGGGGAAATATATATAAGTTGTTTCAGTTTTTTAGTAACTTTGCTTAAAAAGAAATTTATTAGTTTTTTTTTTCTTCAAAGCTATGATAATAAAAAAAAGTTTAAGCCTTGCAGACAATGAAGCTTATTAGCAAAGTTATTCGTTATACTTACCTTCAAACCTTTAAGTGCCTAAAATAATTGGATTCTTCCACCTAAATTTTTGAAGCCAAGAACGAAGAAATTTTTATTATAAAGGATTTTCTTTCTCAAGAAAATATGCGTCATGGCTTCAATTTAATTTTTTGCAGACTGCCTGTAACCTCACTTTAAGGACTTTCCCCATAAAAAGAAGTAAACTGCTCTCTTATAACTTAGCGGATGATTAAATTAATTGCTACAGTAAAATTACTTGAGCAGATTAGAAGAGGTTCGTGCCCACTTATTCACAGGTACTCTTACTCAGTGATTGTTAAGGGCATAAGCATTAGATTAAAAAGGAAGAGAGCTGAGAAGGAAGGAGTAAAGTTAGAAAACCTAATTAAAAGTTTAAAAGAGCTAAAGTCTTCATATGGTATAGAGTAGAATTCCGACTTTTCTTATTTCTTGGCAAACCTCCTAAATTGTTCCTATTACCTGAGAAAAAAAAATAGCTAAATCTAATTTCCACTTTTGTAAAGCGCAAGTATTGACCGAGACCTTAAACACAATCTTTTTGGGGATTATGGATGGCTTTTTTTCCTTTGATATAGCCTTAATGTGTTTAACTGATCGTTTATGAAATAATGCTAATAGAGTTTCTTCTAAAAGGGAACTTTGATATTCATTTTCTTCCCAAAGAACTTTCTGGTCTAACAAAAAGGTTTCGGTAAAAGCATTCCGTTCCCCTTCTTAAACTTTCGAAAAAAAAGAAAACGGCGTTTTCTCTAGTTAACAACCTTAAACCTCTTACAACTGAAAAGGAATTATTAAAAAGAACTAAAAATTTGTTTCTCTTAACAAAAAAACATATTAGGGTAACTAGTACCTGTGAGCCCCTCCATTCTAGAACATATCTATGCATAAGGAATTAATGGAGCATAAGGAAAATTCTCTTTTTGAGGTTGCTCCAGAAATTTTTCTTCGGCAAGTAAAACACAGCTATTGCCCCCGTTTGAGGTGTATGACTCGCTTTGCGAAGTCAAAGTTTAATCCAAGAAAAGCGGGGTTAACTAACATTTGTCGCAAGGTCTTTTAACTTTATTTTAAAAAAGTTGAAAGCAACGAATTCTAATAAAATAAAGTGATTTTTACTTCTGAGGCTTCTTTGCGAGAAAAAAGATGTTTTTTACTTAGTAATGTAAGTAATAATCCAGAAATTAATTGCTCACAAAACTCACTCAAGAGTACCTTGTACACGGAATGGGGAAATAAGATACCCTTCCCTTCCGGTATTTCAAAAACAAACATCTTTGCTTTAATCCTAAAGGATCCTAGCTATAATTTTTTTGGGTTTAGGTCTATTGTTCATTTAAAGGACGCATTAAGAAGAATCAATAAAAATAAAAAGGTAAACAACCGACTTATACGGGCAGCTTATGACCCTTGTTATATTACCTGGACGAAAGGATACTAGTTGGTTTTAATCTTTCCTTTATAGAGTAACCTAAATATTTTGAATTAATCAATGAAATATTTCAGATAATGCTACCCCCTTAAAGATCATAAGGTTCTCTGACTATAATAAGCGCCCAAGGAGAACTTATAATGATTAAAAGATATAATAAGAAAATCAAAATGTAAATAAATAATCTGTGAAGAAAAGAGTTAGCAAACTAGGATCTTTGAGCAAGAATGAAGCTTATGCACAACTAAACCAAAGAAGTGCACAGGAGGAATAGAACTTAGAAAGGGCCGTAGGTTAATAGAAGAACTTAGAATTTGAATATGGAAACAAAAGTAACTCAAAGAGAAAACATACAAAAGGCGCTTTATATTGAGAATGTAACAGAATCAAGCTCCCTCACCCTCAGGTTGGAAGCCTTATTATGTCTGCTTAGCACCAAAAAGCGCAAGCCAGAAAATTATTATGATTAGTTGCATTAATCAAACTATTATCCAATGAAGATGTGGTATAGGTCATGCTAGGGTTCATAACAGGTAAACGCTCAGTAGCCACTTCGCTCTGTGGCGAAGTTACCCAAAACTTTTACAGAAGGCTATTGAATCTATTAATATTTAAACAAAAAACTAATGAGTAAAAAATTTTATTAAGATCTATGTAAAATAAATTTCTCCATATATAGAACAGCCGTTCCGAGCTTAACATATAACTTCGAGAAACCTCAGCCAATCATTCCGAAATTTTTTAGCCAATGGTGTTGTCCGAAATTTAGTTAAATTTGATATTTTTTAGTTTCCTTATTTGTCAAAACACAATTGTGTTTTGTGCTGGTGCCTTTTGATGTTATAAACTACCAGATTAAGATAAAAAGTTTGTTAAAAGCTATATATGTAGAAACTGTAAATCCAGCTTCAAATTAAGTTCCAGAAAGTACTACCACTAAAAGAGGGTATAGAGTTTCAGTGCAAGAACGCAGAACCTCATTATTTACAGAGGAGTCCTTTAACGAGGGGTAATCTTTATTTAGAGACTTAAAGATG